TGCTGTAAACATTGTTGTTTATAGCAGCAATGTCCACAATAGTCAAACTATGGAAAGAGCCCAGATGTCCATCGACAAATGAATGGATAAAGAGGCTGTGGTATCTATGTACAATGGAATATTACACAGCCATCAAAAATGAAATCTTGCCATTTGCAACAACGTGGATGGAACTAGAGGATATTATGCTCAGCAAAATAAGTCCATCAGAGAAAACCAATTATCATATGATTTCACTCATATGTGGAATCTAAGAAACAAAACAGGATCATAGGGGAAGGGAGGGAAAAATAAAACAAGATGAAATCAGAAAGGAAGATAAACCATAAGAGACTCTTAATCATAGGAAACAAACTGAGGGTTGCTGGAGGGGAGATGGGTGGGGAAATGGGGTAACTGGGTGATGGGCATTAAGGAGCACTGGGTGTTAAATAAGACTGATGAATCACTGACCTCTACCTCTGAAACTAATAATATACTGTATGTTAATTAATTGAATTTAAAATAAAAAAATTTTTAAATGGTTAATTTTATGTTATGTGAATTTTACCTCAATAAATGTCTTAAAATCCAGAAATTACCCTGACAAGTGTTAAGACAGGTTGCTATGGTCATTTTTTCTAGAGGCCCTGCCCAGTCTCCAGCCCCCTGCTGACCAGTGTAGGCCTTAACCTTAGCCTAGAAGCAGAGGATCCTTATCTGGGGCTGTGATCTGATTACTTCTTTATTAGCAGCAGTAAAAATCAGCTTGACTTAGACACTGTACTTTGCAACCAAGAAATGATAAACATACTCAGCAATGATAATGATGGTAAACTGGCCATTCTCACAGCCCAAAATGCCCTTTCTCCTCTTCTTCTGGCCAAACACCCCTCTGTCCATGGTACAACTCATGTCACCCTCCTATGGGAAATACCCTCCCCCCACCCAATGTAGGGTGGCTCCACATCCCACATTTCTCTGCCTTCCCTAAGCTCCTGATACCTTTGGAGGTGTCTGCGTGCAGCAGAGCACCCCACCAGGTCCTCTGTGTAAGTGCCCTTTGTAATAGTCTTTTTTTTTTTTTTCTTTTTTCTTTTTATAAGTAGGCTCCACATCCAGCTTGGAACCCAACATGGGGCTTGAACTTATGTCTCTGAGAGCAAGACCTGAACTGAGATCCAGAGCCTGATGCTTCACTGACTCAGCCACCCATGTGCCCCTCCCTTGGTAATAGTCTTGTTCACACTTTGCCTCCAGGGTGCGTCCTAGCACGGGGCACAGTGAAGACTGATTCAGATGGATAGAGAGGTCCCCCTGGTCCTGGAAATAACCATGTCACCAACAGAATCTCCTGCTGGAGCTTGGGAGTAGGCCCCAGTTGGCAAGGCAGGGTGTCTGGAAAAAATCAGTGGGCTTGGCAGCTACCATTGTGCCCTGTCTCTTTGGGGATCCCTTGGAACTGCGTGCAAAAAATGTTTGAGGGGTGTTTGTGTGTTTTCTAGGGAGAGATTACATTACTTTTGTCTGATTATCAAAGAAGCCTGTGTTCTGACTAAAGGTCAAGAACTCAAGCTTGTGAACCTAGATAATTTTGGCCAAATGAACCCTCTGGCCTTTTCCTTTCCCCTCTGCCCCTTGCTGAACAGTTCAGGAAGTCTTTCAAGGTAGAAAAATATGTAGTTTTTTCAGTGATTTTTGAACTTTTCACCCTAGGATCCCCAGGCTGGGTTCCTGACAAAAACAAGTAATGATGTTCTTCCCATGTACAGCAAAAAGTTAATTGATGAGATTTTATTATTTAAAAAAAGTTACTATTTTTGAGAAGGCTCTATGTACATAAGGCAAAACATTAAAGTGGTATAAGAGGAAAGTACTTTTATACTATGAAGAATGATACTTCCTGTAGGTTTTTTGGTAGCTACTTTTATCACGTTAAGAAAATTCCCTATTAGTACTTTAAGACTTTTTTTTATGTCATAAATGGGAATTGAATATTATCAAATGCTTTTTCTTAAAGTATTTTGATGATAGGGCTTTTCTTAATTGGTTAATGTGATAACTGATATTTCTATTTTTCTTGCTAACCACCTTGAGTTCCAGAGTCAAATCCAACATGGCCAGGGTGTATTATCACAGGTGTATTAGGTTTGCCAGGCGAGGGTCAGGCAAAACACACTAGGAGGTCAACACTAAGGATAACTTCTTTTTGACCCATGAACTGGCCCAGGCAATTGGAGGGTACTCACCCTCTCCTCATCCTTGGAACGTGTGTTTTGCTGCCTTCTCCATCCCAGAAATTGTCCCACAGGCACAGCTTCGACATAGTGATGTGGTATTGAGACTATCTGGGTAGTACATGTGACTGAGCCGAGTTAAGGCCTCTCTATAAACTTTTAAGATGTGGCAGTTGGATGTGGAGATCTACTTGTCTTACAGCTGCCCAATACAAGACTTGTGAGTAAATTCCCTTTGCTTATTAAAACTGCTGATCTGGGGTGGTATTCTATTACTTGGATCTCTTCCTGCCTTCTGCATATAGGAACTAGTTTCAGATTACACCTGAGTAGGTTGTGAACTCAAGCTTCCTTGAATGTTATTTGAGATTCAACTTGACCAGTATCTAAGGAAACAGAAAGCAGATAAGCTGTTCCCTGTTGAAGAGAATGCATAGTTACTTTTCCTTGGCTGTACTATAATTGTCTGTTAGTTTTCAGTAGCTACAGCTGAATGATGTCTGGGTCTTAGTTATATTTTTACCTCAGGCATTTAGAGTTTGGAAAGTACATGATGAACATAGTACAGGAAGGAGTAGATGAGAGCCACGGGGTGTGTGGGGTATTCTTCCAACACACAGTGTCTTTCTTCACACCTTCTGTACAACTCTGAGGATGTGAATCTCCTCATGTCAGGTGTTCCCTTCTGAGGAAGGGTGGGGCACAAAGCTCATGCCTCTATTATTTCCCTTTGCAGACAAGGCCATTTGCACTGGGTCAGTGCTGGCTGCATTTCAGGCCCCAGCAATGACTAGCCTGTCATTGTTGGGATAGATTCCAACCAGCTGGAGCAGGCCCTGAGGTGAATAGGGCAGGTGGATGCTCACATTAGGCTTAGTTACGAGTCATCGTAGCCAAGCATGAGATTTGGAGAAGTATGAAAGCATATTAGTTTCCACAGGGACTGGTTTCTAAGTAAAATAAGAAAGGCTTTGTGTTTAGGTGAGAGAATTAAATTGTCCAGATTATCAGATGACAGGATTCTTCCTTGTTTGTGTGTATTCTGTGTATCTCTCTGCTGGGGAACATAGGGAGGGAGATCCTACCTAACAATACCCCCCTTTTTAAAAAAGATTTTATTTATTTAATTGACAGAGAGAGAGAGACAGCGAGAGAGGGAACACAGCAGGGGGAGTGGGAGAGGGAGAAGCAGGCTTCCTGCGGAGCAGGGAGCCCAATGCGGGGCTAGATCCCAGGACCCCGAGACCATTAGGCAGGCACCTAATGACTGAGCCACCCAGGTGCCCCCCCTAACAATACCCTTACTACCATCTTGACCAGTATCTGTCTTCCCTGCTGAGATGTGGTGGAGTCCTTTGTTCTGGAAGACCCACAAGGAAGCTGCTGTGTAGGTCACCATGGAGTTAGGAACAGAATTTTAACCACTTTGTTGTTGCAGCCTGGATCTCACTATTTCCTATAGTGACCCTTATCAGGGAACGGCAAGCATTGAATACTGATGTTGCAGAGCACAGACTTTCAGTCTCTCTTCATGTTCACTTATTTAAAATATGTTCTTGTGATCAATGGCTGTTGGAAAGCCCAATGCAGTCACTGAGTCTCAGTTTCTACATCTGTAAACAGGGATAATAGCATGAATGGTGTCCAGTGAAGGCACCAAAAGGGGGCAGAAATATTTCAGAATTCCTGGGTCTTTTTCCCCTATTACCTGGGGATCATCTTCCAGCTTCCTATGTCTGTCCATTGTTGCTATTCAAACTTGCAGCTACTTCTTTCTTAATTATCTCTTTGCAGGGCTCCATTGTTCCAGAGATTCCAGCGGTAGCCACATAATCCACAGCTTTAGGGTATGCAGACACAGAACATGGGTCAGAATGATGATAATGAGCAGTGTAATTTCCAGACAGTATGTGCTTAGATCTCTCCCAGCAGGTATATGACTGGATCACCAACGATCCACCCAGAATAGACACACAGGAAGGCCAGCAATTTCACCACTACCAACTCAACTCCACCAACCTTTCTGGATGCCCCTCTGAGCATATAGCTCTTGGCTGGGGACTAGGGACATAATATTGACAAGTACTCAGATGGCACCCTTGAGAAGCTCTCTATCTGTAAGGCAAATAGGTGTGTAGGCCAACTATGGGACTGGAGCGTAGAAAGGATGATAATAGAACTGGGGCTGGGGGGACAGAAATTTCCCAGAGGATGAAGTGGTTATATTTGTTCAAGGAGGTTGAGGAGGAAAGACTCTAACAGAGGAGATCCTCTTGGAGCTGGGTTTGAAGCATGAGTAGGATCCTTGTAGGCGGCACAGGGGTATTTCTAGGCAGAGGAAACTACATGGGTAAAGATGTGCAGACCTAGCTTGTTTGAAGGATTTCAAGTATTTAGGGTACAGGGAGCCATGGTGACCAGGACAGGTTAGAGATTTAAGGAGATGGTTTTACATGAGTTTCTCTAACTTTTGAGATTACTGATAACACTGAGTTGTTTATTGATTTCCCACAGAGTATGAACTCATTGGAGGTCAAACTGGGAGTATGCAGGATGCCTTGCCAGCACACATGACTGGGGGGCACCTGCGGGTGGAGCTCGGGGCGGGGGGGGGGGGGGGGCTGCTACTGGCTGTAGCTCCAGCCCCGCCCCCTTTTCAGTATATACATTCCAGGCTCACTGAATCACCGCTGGTGGGAAGGGAAGCTCCGCACACACAGGCAAGCAAAGACTAGCACACACTGCTGAACGACAGTAGAGAGAATTCATAGAGGAAAAGTGGCCATGGACCTGATCCCAAGCTTTTCCATGGAAACCTGGCTTCTTCTGGCTATCAGCCTGGTGTTCCTCTACCTGTGAGTAACCGTCCAGGCTCATTGCCTCTGGAACCCTGGACTTGGGTTGCTGATCAGCATCCACCCCCTTTTCCTTGTCTGTTTTGAGGATCAAAAAAGTTAACAGAGGGGAAGCTGCTTAAGTGTTGGATGCTTCAGATATGCTAGGAACACATAAAGGGTTATTATTGACCTCACCAGATCAGCTGATCTGCTGAAGCCCCCACACCCCAACTCCAATTTCTGTAGCTAGGAGGTAGAGTGACATTATTTGCTCCTAGGGATGATCTGATTGACTACCAGCTGGGACCTAGACTAATCAAGCAGAATTCAGCAGAAGCAGAGTAAAATCAACAGGTCTGGTGCTCTGGGGTCCTCACTGCTTTCCAAGCTGTGGAGATTCTGGAGGCAGAGGGAGTAGCTTGGGTTTTTATCTCATTATCTTGACCTCCCTGGTCTGTGTCCGCTGCAGGAGACATGTAGACGTCACTCAGGTGGTCCTGTTCCCCTCCCTCCACTGCCAGGCACCATGTACACAAGGCACCTGGTGCACCCAGACTTCCAGGGGAGCTGGAGATACCTCATCTTCCTCTTCTGACTGGGCTCTTCCCTCTTTTCTGTGCCCCTCTCCTAGCCATCCCTGACCCTGTAATATGCAGAGCTCTTGAACTCTAAATGAGCATCATTAGAGCTGAGGAGACTTTGCAGATTTCTTAAAATTTTATTCATATCACCTTTTCCTTCCAGTCTCTGGGAGGGTTAGTATCAGTATAGAGATTCCCCGCCCGCCCCCCCTCCCCCATATGAAATCTTCCAGCAGCCACAAAGACAGATCCTGAAAGCCAATTTGGATTTTATTTTATTTTATTTTTAATTTTTAAAAAGATTTTACTTATTTATTTGTCAGAGAGAGAGAGAGCACAAGCGGGGGAGTGGCAGGAGAGGGAGCCCGGTGCGGGGCTTGATCCCTGGACCCTGGGATCATGACCTGAGCTGAAGGCAGATGCTTAACTGACTGAGCTACCCAGGTGCCCCCCAGTTTGGATTTTAAATATTTTTTTTGCCTTTACCTTACAGTACAGGAGAAGCAATCAAAACATCTAGCAGAGGAATTCCTTTCAGTTGTGAGATTCCCAGCATCATGGAGGAGGTTGGGAAAGGACTTAGTTTCACAGTGTGGGTAGGGACAGACCTTCCATGTCACATTTGACCTCTGTCTCAATATCAGTTTCTTTAGGGGCGCCTGGGTGGCTCAGTCGTTAAGCGTCTGCCTTCGGCTCAGGTCATGATCTCAGGGTCCTGGGATTGAGCCCCGCATCGAGCCCCGCATCGAGCCCCGCATCGGGCTCCCTGCTCGGCGGGAAGCCTGCTTCTCCCTCTCCCACTCCCCCTGCTTGTGTTCCCTCTCTCTCGCTGTGTCTCTCTCTGTCAAATAAATAAATAAAATCTTTAAAAAATATATCACTTTCTTTAAGAGTGGGAAATCATGAGGATATAAATATAGAACATGGAAACCTCATTTTCATTTTCTGAGAGAAAGGTTAGGAATGCCAAGTATTGTGGCAACACATTTTCTGTGTGATGACAGTTAAGAGTAGTTGATGTGGTTTAATTTCATTCTATTTAATAATAGGTTTTTTGCTGAGATAAGACTATTTCCAATATGTTCTTTCTGAACGATACAACAGGGCTGTTGGCTCAGCCTTTGTGACTATAAAGGTGCATAAAAAACCTCAGCCTTCTAGAATAATGTTGGCAGTATGAATTTAGTGTACACATACATGCTTCTATGATACATGTTGTATATGTTTTTAAATACATGTGCCCAGCAGGTTATTTTAACCCCTCAGCACAGGTGAGTAGTGAGACTGTGAGCTCATACTGATGTGAGAGGCATCCAGGTAGGACTCGGGGCTGGAGTGGGAGAATATTCCTCCCTCAGAGCAGACCTCCAGGGTTACTCCTTGATCCTGGTCCTACAGAAGGTCATCACGGGACCACAGGGTTAGCATCTCATCTGCAGAAGTGAGGGGACAGGACCACCATGTAAGCCACACTGTGTGTAGTTTGTCTGGTAGTGGGACTGTCACTGGATATTGTCACCACCAGGCAAACAGCTCTGTAGACTTAGAAGACACTGGCGTAGCCAAGAGTCATGTAGACAGTGCCCTCTGCATGCAATGCAATGTAATGGCAATAAAAATGAGTGGCTTTATTGTTAGCCTCTTCATGTGTACCAAAAGCAGCATGACTCTACCAAGAAGAGGGAAGCTGGAAAGAATCAGAAAAATTCACCCAGCCCACCCCCTGCCTTGTTATGGAGCCATGTGAGTTTAGACACTAGACCAGATCTTTCCACGGGACCAGGGTTGCCGACACATTCACTCACTTGCTTGGCTTCACTTGGGAGTTCATGTAGCACGTTGAATGTTCAGAAACAGGAATTGATTTGTTGTGGTGGTGATGGCAAGGAAGGAATGGAGGTGGGACTAACCGAGGCCAGCCTGGCTTCTGGCAGTTGGTACTCATATGTCCAACTGTTCTGGAGGATGGATCCAGACACTCAGCTGGGCCTTGCTAGGGCCCTCTGCTGGTCCCTCAATACGTGTCCTTTCATGCAATTTTGTGGGTTTATTTAACTATATAATAATACAAAATTTGCTGGATTTGCACAGAATATTTGGAAACTGTACTGTCTTGAAGGCTAGTCTCCAGAGATGAGGAGACAAGGTTTTCATTCCATTCTATGGAACATTTTATCATGACTCATTTTATGTTGCATAATATGTATTCTGCTGTCAATTGGAGATATCTGGACTTTGGAAGGCCCCCTATCTGTTAGCTGAAAGACTTTTGGGGCATGTAACCATTTCTACCTAGCATCCTTTCCTACCATACTTTCCTAATCTGCCTCTATGGGGTTAGCCCTGTAGGCCTAACAAGTTATGGTTAAAATGGTTGCTGGCAGCCTCTTTCCTCATCCTCTCTTTTCACTCCACTCTGCCATCTCCCAGCAACACCTAAATGGAAGTCTTGCAAGGATGCAGTTGTGGGTTTCCATACATGACACATGAAAGATGAGTGAAGGCAGGCCTACCATAGGGAGCACCATCCATAATGGGTTTCTGAGAAAGTTGATGCACAGAGTTGGTAAACTAACTGCTTTGTGAGTGACCATCTTGAAGAAAATAAGTGTACTTGGTGGTGTGCTGAGCAGGTGAGTATCTCAGGTTGAAGGATCAGATGCCATGAGGGGAAGAATGGTCTGGAAATGGATGGTTCCTTACTGATTCTTTTATATGGTATCATTTAGGGCACATATGATTCAGTCCCCTTCCTCTTCAGCTTAAGAGAACCAGAGTGCCTGACAACAGAGACTTGGGTGGAGCTGAAAACATCTCACTTTTCAGTGAGGCCAGTGGAGCCTTGAACACAGTTTTCATTGTATAGCAATGAGAATACGGTCTTGCTCAAACCCTCCCAATGAAGATAGATATAAGAAGGACCATATCCTACAATGAACAGGGTCTACAAGGAAGGAAAAACACAGAAGTCTCTGAGCAAACCGTATGAACATTTTCATTCTAAGTTATCCATAACCCTCAGCTCTTGAGTGGATGCAATTAAGCAAAATCTCTTCATCATAGGAGAGAAACAATCTTTCATCTTTCCATCTAGAATGAGAATCTCCAAAATCATGGAAGAGTCATTTACTAAATAGGCATGAGTGAATTTCCTGGAAGAAATCAGCATGAACCTTTCAGGAGCTCTCAAGTGTAGAAACACTCACGAGTCTTCACTTTAGGATTGGGACCATGAGGATTTCAGCTGCTCTTAACTAATCATCCTTACTTTTTGTGAGTCCTAGTGGAGGTGGAAAAGCGGATAATGAGTGAATGTAATTATTGCCGTTGGAATTGCTCTTACTATTTCTTGCCTACATGTTACCTCCCTTCTTACCTGTTCCAGTTTTGTGTCAGTGACTGCCAGCCTCAGCACTTATTCCACCATCCCTGTGACCCGGCTTTCTCTTTCACTTTATAGATATGGGACCTCCACACATGGACTTTTTAAGAAGCTGGGAATTCCTGGGCCAACACCTCTGCCTTTTGTGGGAACTGCTCTGGCCTACCGTAAGGTGAGTTGCTTGAGCTCCCTCTTTTGCTTCTTATGATTGTCAATCCCAGCTTAGTTTCATTGTAAATATGCTCGTCCTCAGGAGGAAGTGCTTAGGTTTCAGACTTCCCAGAAGTGGTGTCACAGGCCCCACCCAGCACATGGCCAGGTCTACCCCAGGGCTCTATTGTCTGCTGTTAGGAGCCTCAGGGTTTGCCTCAGTGGGCAGCCCAGCTCTCTGGCTGCTTCAACCCAGGACCTGATGTTCTAGCTTGTGAGCATCGAGAAGAGGCTTTTGTTTCTGGCAGGTGCAGATTCCCAGGAAGGCATAATCATACTTGGTATGAGGAGAAGAGCATCAAGGGGGTCCACGCTAGTGGTCCATTAGGCTGTGTATGCTAGAGTCAGACTTTTCTGTTCATAGTACAAGCTCTGGGTAGCCTTTTGTTTGGCTGGATAGCTCTGGAACTTCAGTTTATTGGGCAGCTCAAATTCACCTTTGGGGAATTTGCACATACTTGAATTCTCTCAAGAATTGCCAACCCCCTGCATTTATTTCCAAGCTCTAACTCACCCTTTGCTAATGGTGACATCTCTTGGGATTTGAGAGGTTGACCCAGAGCTCTCTGCTTTACTTCTCTACCTTCGTTGTAGGCACCTTCTGGGTGAGCAGGGAGGGAGTTTTGCTGAGGGGAGATGGTGCTTGTCTATTAACTTCAGATTTTAATCTTTGAACGAGTTGTGTGTATGTGTGTGTTGTTTTTCACACAAAGGTAGAACTGCTCATACAAAATCACTAGAAAAGAGATACTTTGACAAAATTATTAAGAAATAATGTACTGGGCGCCTGGGTGCTCAGTTGGTTAAGCGACTGCCTTCGGCTCAGGTCATGATCCTGGAGTCCTGGGATCGAGTCCCGCATCGGGGGTCCCTGCTCAGCAGGGAGTCTGCTTCTCCCTCTCCTGCTCGCCCCTCTTGTGCTCTCTCTCTCTCTCTCACTCTCTCTCTCAAATAAATAAAAATAAAATCTTTAAAAAAATAAAGAAGAAATTAATGTACTGGGGCACATCGCTAGCTCAGTTGTTAGGTGTCTGCCTTTGGCTTGGGTCATGATCCCAGGGTCCTGGGATCGAGCCCCACATCAGGATCCCTGCTCCGCAGGAAGCCTGCTTCTCCCTCTGCTCACCTCCTGCTTGTATTCCCTCTCTTGCTGTGTCTCTCTTTGTCAAATAAATAAAATCTTAAAAAAAAAAAGAAAATGTACTGAGTGGAATGTTTTAGCGGACACACAGACTGATGGTAGAGCCATTGTGGCTCATCCAGCTCTGATGGCTTGTCTGAGGCCCAGCCGCCCCTGGACAGAAGGTTAGGAGCTCACATCAGAAGGCCAGCAGACAGAGTCTCACGTGCAGGCTGCTCTCTGCTGTGGAGTTCCTTTCCCCCAGACCTGAGGCTTGTTTCTCAGATCCCACTTCTCCCTCCTGAGACTCTTGGTGCCCAATTACCACCTAAGAACTTCCTGGACTTTTTCTTTCCAAAAAAGCAATAATTTCCTTTCCTCTTTTCCCAGATCAAGTCCTTAGTACCGGCACCCCAAGATCCACATTTCTGAGACCCTGTTTTGCATGGTTAGAACATCAAAATCACAGCTAAAACTTAGGGACAGGAAGTTTTGTTGTTTTTTTCTTAAGTGAAAACTCGTATCAAGTATTTTAATTTGTTCTGCCCTTTGTGGAGTGGTGGCATGGTCCCCTCTTCTGTGTTTGCTGGATGATTGGAAGTCAAGTCCAACTTGTCATTCATTCACTCATCTCTCACTTACTCACTCAACAAACATGTCTTAGACTTCTGTAAATCTGCTAGACTAAAAGAGGTCACTGGTGTCTTAATTTCCTAAATCCCCTGGAATTCTAGTAGGGCTCCTGAGATCAATGAACAGGATGCTGACTGGGGGTTCAGAGAGTGCAGGCCACACTGACTTTCCCTCAGCTCCAGTTTTCCCAAGTGGCCCTGAGGTAATAATTCAGAGGATTCTGAGATTTAGAGAAAACACAGACACAAGCCAAACAGGCCAGAAATTCAGAGGTTCTGTAGTCCTCACAGACAGGGTAAGTTGTTCAGTATCTGCAATACTTGGAGAGGATTCAAGAGGGACTTGAATTTTTCCATTTCAATATCCTCTGTTTTCTCTTCTTTCTAGTAAGACACCTGTGATAAGAGCTTCCCTCTGACTGCCAGTGAGAGGTAGTAAGCTGCATTTCATGTGATCTGAGTCCTTTTCGTCCCTGTAGGAGGTAGGGCTCAGGAAATTTAGATTAGTAATATGTTTTGTTTCTTCTTGCAGGGTTTTTCTGGTTTTGACGAGAAATGTTTTAGAAAGTATGGAAGATTTTGGGGGTGAGTATTCTGGAAACTTCCATTGGATAGACTTATTATGATGAAGCCCCCGTGGTGTGAACAGTCTCAGTCGAGATCTCCTTGGGTTGAAGCCTGCTGTCGTAAAGCTTCTGGAACCTCTGCTTCCTGGGATCCCATAGGTGTCACCAGGTGTGCAGGTCTAAGTGTGAATCAGGCCTGGAGAGGTATAGTGTGGTGCTGGGCTGCTCACAGCCAGTGTTGTACCTCTCCATACCTTTCTTTTCTCTGGTCACGTCCTCAGAAACCATCGTCTCTGAGTGGCATTGGCCATAAGCTATATGATGGCATAGAAAGAACCCAGATCTCTGGATCACCACTGATTCAGCTCCACTGCCCCTTCCCACATTCAGTACTGGTCAGCTCTGGATAAAGCCAGTCTTACATCGTGGGCCCCAGTTCTGTCCTTAGTACATGGTTCTCATGCTTGGCTGTGGGTAAGAATCACCTGGGAGAGCTTGTTAAAAATGCAGATTCTTGGTTTCCATCCCCCAGAATGCTGAATGTGGAGGATATGGGGTGGGTCCCAAGAATCTGAATTTAACTGGTAGTGGAAGCAATATTAGGACTGTGTGAGATCGTGAATATGTATGGTAACCCCAAAGCACTGTCCTTTGTCCACCCACATGTTTTTGAACAAACATGATGGGATGAGGGGAATCATCCAAGAAATTTGACCAGGCTGCTGGGAGAGCAGACCTAAGGTGCCACCTCAGTAACTTCTATCACTGCGTCAACACTAAATGTACTCATTTCCCACTAAAAACTTCTGAGTGTTAGAATACTTTTTGGAGATGGGTAGCATTTAGTGTAGTGGTCTCATCCATTTTTAGATGTGATGGAAACCATTTGAAATTCCTCTATGAGATCAAAGGAGGAATAGAGGACTTGTGGGAAATCTTTCATTTTGTTCTAGTAAATGCAAATGATTTATTGTGGAAAACAAAATGCCAAAGGGTGGTGTGATTAAGCTTAGAGTAAACCTCATGCTGGTGACAGATTCCCATTAACAGGCCATATTGTCAGTCAAGAATAGGAATGAATCACACATGAAGATAGGATAGGATAGGAATGGATAGGAATGGCTGGAGAGGAATGAATCACACATGAAGAGTCAACTTTGTGTGAGACGTGCAAAAGTCGGCATGCCCTGCTGCTAGGGGATGTCACCTACAGGAAGTCCAAGGAACTCACACCTGGGACCCACATATAAGAATAAATATATGTAATGGAAAGAAAATATGTCCAAAATGAATTATACATGTTCCTCTGTATTTCTTTATTCTCTTTGGTTTTTTTGTTTCAAATTTTTCTGACCTAATGCTATCAAGGACCTCTATAATATTTAAAATAATATTTCTTTTAGAATGTAACTAGGATGTTTATTTTAGTAAATAGGGCAAAGAAATAATTCATAATTTTGCCATCATTTTTGAGCATTCCAAGTCTTTTTATTTGTAGGCACCTCTTACATATTTCTGATTACTGTGTCTATAATTTTGTCTAATATTCTCTCCAATGCATTTAATGTGTTTGAGGTATTTTTAAAATTATAATTTTTAGTGACTAAGTAGGCGGACTCTCCATTATTGTTTTGTTCTTAGATAAGTTACTTGCCTTCAGTTATTTACCACCCTAACTTCCTTTTTGATAATATACATAAATTGTTTGCAATGTTTGAAATACTTCTAAAAGGGATGCCTGGGTGACTCCGTCGTTAAGCGTCTGCCTTCAGCTCAGGTCATGATCCCAGGGTCCTGGGATGGAGCCCAGCATTGGGCTCCCTGCTCTACAGGAAGCCTGCTTCTCCCTCTCCCACTCCCCCTGCTTGTGTTCCCTCTCTCGCTCTCTCTGTCAAAAAAATAAATAAAAAAACTCTAAAAAAAAAAAAAAAGAAATACTTCTAAAATATTTAAGTATTTTAAACATATAAAAAATTATGGAGAATGGTCCAGGAAATACCCATGTGCACACCTAGACTTAATAAATGTTCTAATGTTTTTTCTAACCATGATCTCAGAGAATGGATTAGGTACCATCAGGATAAAAGTCTAGACTTCCAGGCATGGCTGCAACTGCAGAAACTGTCATGTTAAGTGTAATCAGGTCTATTTTCCCCACACAGGTTTTATGATGGGCGACAGCCTGTGTTGGCTATCACGGATCCGGACATGATCAAAACAGTACTAGTGAAAGAATGTTATTCTGTCTTCACAAACCGGCGGGTAGGCATTGGTTTAGTCTTAATTCACAGACTGACTGATTGATGGATTGATTTATATAGCTTTTATTTTGAAATATTTTTAGATTCATAGGAAGGTGTCTCGGGAGGTTCCATGTCCTGTGGCCTTCAGGCTATTTCCCCTTAGGTAATATCCTGCATAACTATAATATAGTATGGAAATGGAAACTGATACTGGTTCTAGCCACAGAGCTTATTCAGATTTCAAGTTTTATGTGCACTCATTTGTGTGTGTGTGTTGCTCTCTGAATATTTATCTTACATGTAGATTTGTGTATCCACCACCCCAGTGACGTTACAGGGCTGTTCCATCACCAAAAAGTCTCCCTCTTACTATTCTTTTATAGGCACAGTGTGAGCTTGTCTCTTATTATCTCAGGGTTTTCAGCAGAGCACACAGTTTTGTTTTGTTTTTGACAAGGTCAATTTATCCTTTTATCCTTTTATGGGTTGTGACTTTGGCATCAAGTTTGAAAAATCTTCACCTAGCCCTAAGTCCCTAGGATTTTCTCCAAGTATTTACTTTTTTGTTTTACATTTAACTATATAGTTTTATGTTTTATATTTATGATGTAAATCCTATATGGTTTTATGTTTCGCATTTAAGTCTGTGATCCATTTTGTGTCAATTTTTAGTGTTAATTGTGAGGTGTGAAGTGTAGGTCAAAGATCTTTGTTTTTGGCCTATGGATGTCTAATTGCTCCAGCACCATTTGTGAAAAGGCTATGCGTCCTCCATTGAATTGCTTTTGTAGCAGTATCAAAATTGAGTTGGGCTTATATGTGTGTATGTCTGTTTCTCATTCTCTGTTCTGTTCATTGATCTCTGTATCTCTCCCTCCACCAATGCCAGGCTCTCTTGATTACTGTAGCCATATCGTAAGTCTCAGCATCATGAACAGTGATTCCTCCCCTTTGTTGTTGTTATTGTTGTTGAAATTGTTTTAGGTATTCTAGCTCCTTTGCCTTTCCATACAAATTTAGAATTAGCTTATCTATGTTTGCATAATATTTGCTGGGATTTTGTAATACATGACTTAAACCTATCCATCGATATATGGAAAATCTGTATTTTTCCTGTCATGTCTTTCAATCTATGAATGCAATGTGTGCTTATTTAGGTTTTCTTTTATTCTTTTCACCAACATTTAGTTCTCAGCACAGGAAAGCCATATATGTTTTGTTAAATATACATCTAAAGTATTTCACTTTCTTTGTGTGATTATAGTTGTTATTGTGTTTTTACTGTGCTTTGACATATTCTCGTTACTATATAGAAACGGGGTTGATTTTTCTGTTGATCTTGTTTCCTACAACCTAGCTTAGCTTGTTTATTAGAATCAGAGGTGTTCTTTTTTATATTCCTTAAGATTTTCTACATTCACAATTATGTCACCTGAACTAGAAATAGGGACACTCCTATTTTTATTTTTCCAATCTTATGCCTTTATTTCTTTGTTTTGTCTTATTCCACTAGCTAGGATTTCTAGTAAGATGTTAAATAAGAGTGGTGAGAGTACACATTTAGTCTTGTTCCTGATGTTAAGGGCAAGCATTCAGTCTTTTACCATTTAAATATTTATATATATATATATAGTGAAAACTGTATATATTTAACTGTGATGTTTTGATTTGTGTATACATTGTGAAGTGATTATGACAAATGAATTAACATATCTATCACCATCCAGAGTTTCTTTGTATATGTGTGTATTTTTTTTTTTTTAGGTATTTATTTATTTATTTGATAGAGAGAGAGAGAGCAAGAGAGGGATCACAAGCAGGGGGAGTGGGAGAGGGAGAAGCAGGCTTCCTGCTGAGCAGGGAGCCCGATGCTGGGCTTGATTCTAGGACACTGGGATCATGACCTGAGCCAAACGCAGAGCTTAATGACAGCCACCTAGGCGCCCCGATGTGTGTGTGTATTAAAACATGTAAAATCTACTTTTAAATTTCAAATATATAGTACATTATTAATAATTATTATCACCAGGGGCACCTGGGTGGCTCAGTCGTTAAGCGTCTGCCTTCGGTTCAGGTCATGATCCTAGGCTCCTTGGATTGAGCCCCACATCGGGCTCCCTGCTCAGCGGGAAGCCGGCTTCTCCCTCTCCCACTCCCCCTGCTTGCATTCCCTCTCTCGCTGTGTCTTTCTCTGTCAAATAAATAAATAAAATCTTTTAAAAAAATAATTATAATCACCATGCAGTATATTCAGTCTCCAGAACTTTTTCATCTCATTACTGAAATTTTGTACCATTTGATTTCTGCCATTTGCCTCTACCATTCTAGCATTTGTTCCTGAGCTTGACTTAATTTTTCTAGATTCCACTTATAATTGAGATCATGCAAATCCTGTCCTTCTGTGTCTGGTTTAGTCCCCTTAGAGTGTTGTCCATGTTGTCCAGGTTCATCCATGCTTAAAATGGCAAGATTTCCTTCCTTTTTAAGGCTTAGTAATATTTCATTTTCTCTATCCATTCATCTTTCCCTTTACATTTGAAGTAATTATTGATAAGGATTTACTATTGTCATTTTGTTAGTCCAGGTGTTTCATAGGTCAATTTTTCCTCCTTCTCATCTTTCTTTTGATTTCATGGGTTGGTTTGTTTTTTTTGTTTTTGTTTTTTTTTACAGTGCTATGCTTTGATTTTTTTTCTCTTTATCTTTTCTGTATCTACTCTATGTTTTTGCTTTGCAGTTACCAGGAGGCTTACATAACGTATCTCCTAGATATAGCAGTCTGCTTTAAGCTGATAAGAACTTAACTTTGTTTACATCCAAACTCAATGCTTTTATTCCTTCTCCACCAATTTTATGTTTTTGATGTCACAATTTACATATTTGTATATTGTATATTTAACAAATTATTTTAGCTGTAGTTTTTAAAATTATTTGTGTTTTAAGCTTTAACTAGAGTTGTAAGTAATTTGTACATCACCAGTTTACAATATCACTGTGTCTGAATTTATACATTTGTATTTACCAGTGAGATTTATACTTTCATGTGATTTCATGTTCCTAGTGAGTGCCCTTTTTGTTTTTCAGCTTGAAGGACTCCCTTTAGTATTTCTTGTAAGGCAGGCTTAGTGGTAATGAATTCTGTCCGCTTTTGTTTGTCCGGAAATGTCTTTATCTCTCTCTCATTTCTGAAAGCCTTGTTTTTCTGGGTAAGGTATTCTTCGTTGGTATTTTTTTTTCAGCACGTCAAATAAATCACCCACTGTCTTCTGCCTTTCACGATTTCTGCTGAGGAATCCACTGACAGCCCACGATGTTCCCTTGTATGTGATGAGCTCCTTTTCTCTTGCTGCTTTCAAGACTTTTTCTTTGGGTTTAATTTTTGAGTTTTATTATAATGTCTCTTGGAGAAGTCTTTTTCAGATTCAGTGTTATTGGGGACTTTAAGCTTCATGTCCCAAGATTTCCATACATTTCGCTAGGTTTGAGAAGTTTTCAGCCATTGTTTCTTTCAGTAAGCATTCTGTCCACTTCTCTCTTCACCTACTGGGACTCCCATCATATGAATATTGTTTCACTTGTTGGTATCCCCTAAGTCCTGTAGGCTTTGTCCCCCAGTTCTTTTCATTTTTGTACCTCACTCTGACTGGACAATTTAAAATAATCAGGAGGGCGTGATTGGTTCAGGCAGTTGGGGGCCACAACTTCAGCAGCTGCATGATCCTTGGCAGCAAGAGCCGTGGAGGGTTCTTTGTGGCTGCAGTGGCTGTTGGGGTCTTCAGCAGCACCACCAGATCCAGCGCCAGGAGGCTGGGGAAGGAGAATGGTGGCAAGAGTTGGTGCTATGCACACACCCATCTGTCGTGGCTGAAAGCAGGCTCACGCCCAAAACAGAGCTAGTGCCAGTGGTGGGGACTGTCCGCCTGTGGGCACACAGGGAGCCTTGAGTGTCTGGGCTGTCTGTGTGCACTCACATGGCTTCAGGGCTAGCCAGTGCATGCGCAGCAGCTGGGGGCTTGTGAGTGGAGTTCAGGCCGGCCGTGTGAAGGTGCACAGCTTCAGGGTTTAGCTGTGGTCTCATGTGGCAGTGCAGTGGCAGGAGTCAGGCCTGGCCTCAGGCACCTGAAAGCTGCTGGGGCCTGGGCTGGTGTTGTACGTGTGCTGAGTTACAGAGGCCAGACTGGCTGGTGGTGTAGATTCTGGGGCTCACAGTGTTGGTGGTGGCACGGCTGAGGCAACTCCAGTGAGTACAGATGGGACACAGCAGGACTGAGGCAGCTGGAGTCTGCAAATGTGAAAACCTGGGGGACTATCAGCAGCAAAATCTTAGAGGATGCACAGTGCTCGGCTGGCTATTGGTTCCTCAGCCGCTGAGGCTGCTAGGGTCTTCTGCAGAGCAGGACACAGAGAAACATGGTCACTCATGCCCGGTGGCCGGTAGTCCTGCCCTTCTTTGTTCCTAGCTGTGTCTAGATGTCAGCCATGCCAGTCTCTGGGAGGTTTGAAACCAAAACAGGTCATTTGTGCTGTGCCCTGAAGGGCTGGGGCTAATAGTCGTTCACCCTTCTGCTGTTCCCCAGGAAGGGGAACTGTCTCAGTCAGGGAGTGTCCTCTTGGTGCTGAGCAGTGCTGGCCTGGGTCATGGGGTGATGCGGGCAAAATGAAGTTATTTTCCTTGCACAGTTATTCTCAGGAGTTTTCTCCACTCTGTTGTTGAAACTTCTTAAATGGACTCCTAAGCTCTTGGGCCTATTTTTGTTTGTGGATAGCTGTCTAATTGTTGTTCTTTGTGGGGTGACAGAGGCTGGAGTGTCCTGTTCCATCATCTTAGTGACATAATATCAGTCTTTCCTCACTGAGGTGATGTTAGCTGTAGGGTATTTAGATGCTCATTATTAAGTTGAGGAACTTTCCTTCTCTTCCTAGTTTGTGAGTTTTTATCATGAAATGGTGTTGGAGGTATCCATTTTATTTTTTGTTTTGAAGAGGGCATGTGCTGTGGTGAGCACTGGGTGTTATAGTTAACTAATGAATCACTGAACACTGCATCAAGGACTAATTATGTACTATACCGTGGCTAACTGAACGTAATAAAAAAAGTAAAAAGCTATGTGGGAAAAAATAAAAACAAAACACACATATGACAAAAAAATTTTTTAAATTTAAATTTAATTTAATTAACATGTTCTGTATTATTAGTTTCACAGGTAGAATTCAGTGATTCATCAGTTACATACAACATCCAGTGCTCATTACTTCATTACTATATGCCCATCATCTGGTTACCCCATTCCTCCAGCCACCTCCCTGGGAGCAATTTTCAGTTTGTTCCCTACAGTTAAGCATGTCTTATGGTCTGCCTCCCTCTCTGTTTTTATCTTATTTTATTTTTCCTTCCCTTCTCCTATGTTCATCTGTTTTGTTTCTTAAATTCCACATATGAGTGAAATCATATGATAATTGGATTTCTTTGATTAACTTATTTCGCTTAGCATGATACCCTCTAGTTCCAACCATGTTGTTGCAAATGGCAAGATATCATTCTTTTTGATGGCTAAGTAATATTCCATTATATATATACCATGTCTTAATTATCCATTCATCTGTCAATGGACATCTGGGCTCTTTCCATATTTTGGCAATTGTGGACATTGCTGCTATAATCATTGGGGTGTATGTGCCCCTTAAAATCACTATGTTTGTATCCTTCTGATAAATACCTAGTAGTCCAATTGCTGGATTGTAGGGTAGCTCTGTTTTTAAGTTTTTGAGGAACCTCCATACTGTTTTCCAGAGTGGCTGCACCAGTTTGCACTTCCACCAACAGTGTATGAGGGTTCCCTTTCTCTGCATCCTGGTCAACATCTGTTGTTCCCTGAGTTGTTAACTTTAGCCTTGGAGATATCCATTTTAAAACAAACTATAATTTTGGAAAATGGAAGAAATACTCAAACTGGTTGACTTGCTAGGCCAGTCCCAAGATGATATATTGAAGAGAGAATTATTTCTCTCTTTTTCCTTATGTCCCTTTGGGGAAAATACAGGGACAAGAGATTTCCATATTACTGTATCATTTCTTCACAAGAGCAAATAGATTCCTCATCTTTTTAGTGTTAATTACAATTTTTTTTTAAAAAAAAAATCACCGTATCAAGACATCCATTTCTCATGCTGTGGATATATGTAAAGGCAGAACTGGTCTGAGGCAACATGCAGTTTTCCAGGCTATCTGGCTGCCTTCTACCAATCCAATTCTACTCTGCACAGCTTAGGAGAATGTACTAGGTGTTAATCCTCTGTATTCCCCTGGAGGAGTAGTTTCCCTGCCAAATTTTCCCATACCACATCAGGTGGCTGGATGTGTCCTCAACCTTGTGGGAGGCTAGGCATTTGGGGTAAGTATCTGTTAATAACCTACCATAGGGCCTACTACTAAGTTGATAATCACTAAATATTTGTTGAATAATTTCTGCCTGTTTAACAAAATTTCCACAACCTTTGAGACCTCCAAAACTTATGTAGGGCAAATTGTGTTTTTCTTTGACTCTAGTGTTTTGGTCCAGTGGGATTTATGAAAAGTGCAATCTCTTTGTCTGAGGATGAAGAATGGAAGAGAATGCGAACATTGCTGTCTCCAACCTTCACTAGCGGAAAGCTCAAGGAGGTAAGAAAAGAAGAGGACTTTCAGTGAGAAAGTTAAGGAATGCATCTGGGGGCAGGTAGGAAATAAAATCACAGTCCATCTCTAAAGGGTAGTCTGCTGAATTTGGGCTTCCTAAAAATGGTCTTTTCATGTCCTACAAGAGACATGATAAGATTTGTTATTACAAATCACTGCTCCATGCTTGTGAAAGCCATGTCATCCTAGGACTTGATTCTCAGATTTAACTTCAGGTGGTGTTGTATTTTGTGTGTAGATGTTCTCCATCATTGGCCAGTATGGAGATGTGTTGGTGAGGAACCTGAGGAAGGAGGCAGAGAAAGGCAAGACCATCATCTTGAAAGAGTAAGTAGGAGTACAGCTGCTGGGATTCTGACTCTGTCACAACATTTTCCAGCTGCTGCTGCCACAGAGCCAAATTCCCACTGTTGAGTTACTCAGTGAACAAGCTGAGGTAGGTGTATGATGTTACAACCCCAGTGAGCCAGCCAAGAAGAGGTAGCTCACCTAAAAAGGCAGAGCAGCCAGGAGAGAAAGGGTCTTCTTTTGTGTACATGAGGGAGGATTAATTTATCTGCTTAGTTGTCACCTTGGATATTCTGGAAGACAAAAATACATTATTTGAAAAGAAGACACATGATTGTACCAAATCTTTGAATGTAGAGAGTATGGAATGGTGGGAGGGAAAGGCACTTGGTACGTGTTGTGCGGGGGGAAGGAACATTAACACGTGGAACTTGGAACAACTTAACCCCCTTCCTGATTTTGTTGAGGATATTAGCAAAACACTAAATATTAATTCTTATGACCAGCTGTCCTTCTTTCAATCTCAAAAGAGAGAAGGCCCTGCTCATGGGATGGGTAAGGTGACCATTTTTTTCCCCTACCTGGAATATATTTTAATAATGTAGGATGAACAGATGTACATTGGGACTGTCCTAGGAAACTAGTGGCATATGATATCTTAGCTATGGCATCCCCTAAGTCAATTTTGGTGTAATTTAATATATATTTTTACACTAGGAACATTCTTGTTCTTACATTTTCCAGAAATGAGTGAGTCCGAAGGATAATCTCAGATTGATGGAGATGAGACAGAGTGGGTCTTTCAGGAGCCTTAGCAGGGGTGTAGAGAAGAAGGGATGGTGTTCTTGGCAGCACAGAACAGGGTGTTGGTGTTCTATCATGTGCTGAAGAGGAATCAGCTCTGAGTGTAGATACTGTGGTGAGAGGAGATCCTGATCAATTTCACCTACTTGGCCCTGAGGAAGGGTTAATTATTCCACCATTTGTCCTTCTCAGACACAGTGCTAATCCACCTTCTACTGCCCATACTCAAAACACACTACTGTAATATGTCCAGCTCTTGGTCTCTAACCCTCCATGACTGAGCTCCTTGCGCTCAGAGGTGTGTCTAACATGTTACAGTGTCCCCATGACCCCTAGCACAAGACCAGCTGCATCAGTGGCACCTCCTGAGCACCTCGTGAGTGAGTGTGATGTCATAGAGACTCTTCAGATGATGTAGCAGGTGGTTCTGGAAGTGTGGCTCTTGTCTTGCCTGGTCATTGGAATCTACACGTACTTCCTGTTTCATGTGTTTGATAAGAACAGTAAAAAGGTATCGCTTTTAATTATCTACATCTTTCTTTCTCTACTAAGCATCTTTGGGGCCTACAGCATGGATGTGATTACCAGCACATCGTTTGGAGTGAACATTGATTCCCTCAACAACCCACAGGATCCCTTTGTGGAAAATACTAAGAAGCTCTTAAAATTTGATTTACTTGATCCATTTTTCTTCTCAATATGTAAGTACAGTACTAGTTTTCTCTTTTTCCTTCCTTCCCCTTTTCTCCCCTTCCTTCCTTCCTCTCTCACTTCTTCCCTTACTACCTTTCTACAACAATTTTACTGAGATATAACTTCATATAACATATATGTCCCCCTTTTTAAAAATTTATTTTTTCTTATGTTAGTCACCATACAGTACATCATTAGTTTTTGAGGTAGTGTTCCATGATTCATTGTTTGTGTATAGGACCCAGTGCCCCATGCAATACATGCCCTCCTTAATACCCATCACGTGAAATAAGTCAAGCAGAGAAAGTCAATTATCATATGTTTTCACTTATTTGTGGAACATAAGGAATAGCACGGAAGACATTAGGAGAAGGAAGGGAAAAATGAAGAGGGGGAAATCAAAGGGAGAGACAAACCATGAGAGACTATGTCCTCCTTTAAAATGTACAATTTAATTTTTACAGTCTGAGTGTTCGTCGTCCAAGGAATGGATAATGAAAATGTGATATGTATATACCATGGAATCTTATTCAGCCATAAAAATGGAAGGAAATTCTGTATTTGGACAACATGGATGGATCCTGAGGGCACTATTAAATGAAATGAGTCAGGCAGGGAAAGACACATATTGTATGACTTCAATTACACGTGGAATAAAAAAACAATACAAGAAATGAAGTCATACAAAAAGGAGATCAGATGTAGTTCTCAGAGGCAGGGATTGGGGGGTGGGACTTGAATGAAGGTGACCAAAGGTACACACTTACAGTTATAAGATATATGAGTCCTGGACTGGTAAATACAACATGATGACTATAGTTAACACTACTGTATGATGTATTTGTAAATTGTCATCATAATGGCAGAAAATTTTGTTTTTATAACTATATGGGATGATGCATGTTAACTAATCTTATTGTGGTAATCATTTTTATATATGTATGTCAAATATATGCAGTACACCTTATCTTATATAATACTGTATGTCTGTTATAACTCAAGGAAACTGAAAACTCTTCTTGGTGCATTCAAAGATATGTGTAACGTTTACTGCAGTTAATTGTTGGAATATTGTTGTCAACACAGAAATCCTGTACTTTTTTACTATCACTACCTACTTTCCTTAGCCTTAAGCAACCACTAATCTGCTTTCTGTCTGATAGATTTGCCTCTTCTGGACTCTTCATACAGATAGAATCATATAACATGTGATTTTTGTGGCTGCCTTCCTTCATTAGCATAATGTTTTCAAGGTTCATCCATGTTGCAGCATGCATCAGAACTTTCTTTTTATGGCAGAACAATATTCCATTGTATGGGCATACTGCATTTTGTTTATCCTTCCATCTTTTGAGGGACATTTGGGTTGTTTCCAACTCTTGGCTATTGTGAAGAATAGTACTGCTATCCACATTCATGCACAAGTTTTTGTTTGAATACCCGTTTTTAATTCTTTTGGGTGTGTATTCTGAGATGGAATTGTGAAGCAACTTTGCTGTTTGTACAATGCTTTGTATTGTAACTTGCTATGTTGCTAAGGTAAAGTGTGTTTAATTTAATAAGGAACTGCCAAACTGTTTTCCACAATAATGACATCATTTTACATTCCCACCAGTTAAACATGAGGGTTCTGGTTTCTGCTCATCCTTGCCAACAGTTGGTCTACATTTGTCTATCTTTTTGATGATGGCCATCTTAATGAGTGTGAAAGGTATCCCATTGTGGTTTTGTTTTGCATTTCCAATGACTAGTGAGGTTGAGCAACTTTTTATATGCTTGTTGCCTATTTCATAACTTCTTTTTTAAATTTAATTTTTTATTTAAATTCAGTTATCCAAGGTATAGTGCATCATTTGTTTTTTTTTGTTTTTGTTTTTTTAAATATTTTATTTATTTTTTTTTAGAGAGCGAGCGAGAGAGAAACAGCATGAGAGGGGAGAGGGTCAGAGGGAGAAGCAGGCTCCCCGCCGAGCCGGGAGCCCGATGTGGGACTCGATCCCAGGACCCTGGGATCATGACCTGAGCCGAAGGCAGACGCTTAACCATCTGAGCCACCCAGGCGCCCATGCATCATTTGTTTTTGATATAATATTCAGTGATTCATTAGTTGAGTATATCACCCAATTCTCGTCATATCAGGTGCCCTCTTTAATGCCCATCACCCAGTTACCCCATCCCCCCACCCACATTCCTTTCCACAAACCTCAGTTTGTTTCCTGGAATGAAGAGTCTCATATGGTTTGTCTCCTTCTCTGATTTATTTCCATTCAGTTCCCCCCCACCGACACCCTTATTGTTCTCTGTACTATTTCTTATGTTCCACATTTGAGTGAAACCATATGATAATTGTATTTCTCTGATTGACTTATTTCACTTAGCATAATACCCTCCACTTGCATCCATGTCAATGTAAATGGTAGATATTCATCCTTTCTGATGGCTGAGTAATATTCCATTGTATATATGAACCACATCTTCTTTATCCATTCATCTGTTGAAGGACATCTTGGCTCCTTCCACAGTTTGGCTGTTGTGGACATTGCTGCTTTGAGCATTGGGGTGCACAACTTCTTTAGCTAAATGTGTATTCAAATTCTTGCCCATTTCTGGTTCAGTTGTTTGTCTGATTTTGAGTTGTAAGAGTTGTCTGCATCTTCTAGATAAAAGACTCTTAAGATATATGATTTGAAAATTTTTTCTCCCATTCTGTAGGTGTCTTTTCACTTTCTTCAAAGTGTTCTTTGTAGCAAAAAATTTTTAATTTTGATGATGTACAATTTATGCATTTTTCCATTTTTATCTGTGATTTTAGTGTCATATTTAAGAATTTATTGTAATTTCTGAGGTCATGTGACTTGTCCCAGTAACATTTATTGAAAAGACTATCTTATTCCATTGAATGGTATTGGAAACCTTCTCAAAATTCAGTTGACCATAAACACATGGGTATAATTTTGAACTCCAAATTCAATTCCATTGATCTATATGTCTCTCCTTATGCCTGAACCACACTGTCTTGATCATTATAGCTTTGTGGTAAGTTTTGAAACTGGAAGTTGGAGTTCTACAGTTTTATTCTTTTTTTTTTTTCCCTCCAAGATTGTTTTGGTCATTCTGGGTTCCTTACATTCCATATGAATTTTATTTTATTTATTTATTTATTTTTAAAGATTTTATTTACTTATTTGACAGAGAGACACAGTGAGAGAGGGAACACAAGCAGGGGGAGTGGGAGAGGGAGAAGCAGGCTTCCCACTGAGCAGGGAGCCCAATGCGGGGCTCAATCCCAGGACCCTGGGATCAGGACCTGAGCCAAAGCAGGTGCTTAATGACTGAGCCACCCAGGCGCCCCTCCATATGAATTTTAATTTCAGTGTGTCAATTTCTACACAGAAGCCAGCTAGGATTCTTATAGGGAGTACATTCATCTGTAGATCAGTTTGAGGAGTATTGCCATCTTGGCAATATTAAGTTCTAATCCATGATCATTGGATGTTTTTCCGTTTACATAGATCTTCTTTAATTTATTTCAACAATATTTGTGGTTTTCAGAGCATAAGCACTTCTTTTGTTAAAGCTATTCCTAAGTATTCTGTTCTTCTTGATGTTATTGTAAAGGAGTTTATAGTCCTAATTTCACTTTTGGATTTTTTATCACAATGTATGAAATGTAATTGATTTTATTGAGGCTCTAGTCCAAAATAAAAGGCTAAGAGATCCAGGAATGTAATCCTGTTCCTTTGGTCACTCCAAAGATGTGGCAGGAGACACTGATCTGACTGTTCTAGTGGTGGCCCATATGTGTGACTTGCTCTGGCTCAGCCATTGGCTTGAAAGTTCAAGTAAAGGTCATAGAGGGAATAACTCCGATATGAATGAATCCTGGTGTCTTTTAATCCTCAGGTTGGTAGACCAAATTATAATTGCTCCAGGGCAATTTTGCATTTTCACTGATATTTCCATTGCTTTTTTTCCTTATAGCACTGTTTCCATTCCTTATCCCAGTTTTTGAAATATTAAATATCTGGCTATTTCCAAAACGTGTTACTGATTTTTTCATGAAATCTGTAAAAAGGATGAAGGAAAGTCGCCTCAAAGATAAACAAAAGGTAAATCTGGTGGTGGTTACATGTGCATGTTCACTTTTGATCTGTTATTGAACTGTATACATCTGATGTACACACTTCTAAATAGGTTTTTATGGTAGGTAGAGAACTATAGGGTTTAGAGCAGGAGACTTCTAACATTTTAGAGAGAATGAAGAAGGTGGAGGTCAGGGAAGGAGATAAGAAGATGAGTCAGAGAGACAATGTTTAAAATTTAAGAATAAGCTTGCCAACGAGTATGTCACTGCATAATCTTCAGTGAGAGGAAAAACTACCACTTCCTTTCAATAAATTGTCAAAACTTAAAAATTACTGTGTAAAATATTTTTCCTGGTAGTATGATTTTGCCAGATCTTACAGTGACAAAGAATCCCTTCAATTCTAAGCCTCTTTTCTTACAGTCTCCAGTGGAAGTTCCCCTCAGGCACCTGGTTATGTTAATAACATAATAATAATAATAATATCATAATGTGGAGTGGGCAAGTGTCTTCTTTGGACACTGAGGCTGCAAGCTGGCCGAGTAGGCTTTGCCTTCCTGAGACTTGGCGGCCAGCACTAAGATGTGTGTAGGACAAGGAGACAGGGCTGGTTCCCCAGGATGTCTCTGAAGATTGTGCAGAGTTCTGGGAGGGTGGGGCATTGGAAGATGCTGACGCAGAAGCTGCCCGTGGACTCTGCAGAGGTCAGGGAATTGGTCTATGTGACCATTCATTAAGAATTAAGGCTGGGGGCGCCTGGGTGGCTCAGTTGGTTGAGCGACTGCCTTCGGCTCAGGTCATGATCCTGGAGTCCCGGGATCGAGTCCCGCATAGGGCTCCCTGCTCGACAGGGAGTTTGCTTCTCCCTCTGACCGTCCTCCCTCTCATGCTGTCTCTCATTCTCTCTCTCTCAAATAAATAAATAAAATCTTAAAAAAAAAAAAGAATTAAGGCTGGAAAAACAAAAGGACTGAAGTCAGGGACTCTCTCCCCAGCTAGTAGGTATGACAGGAAAGGGAGCAGGAAATACTTGGGCCAGGAAGCTGTGTTCAAAAGCCAGAGAAGCTGAGGATCAGAGAGGGCAAGAACCAAAAAGCAATGGGACATAATGGCTGGATTCCTGTCAGGGAAATATCATGCTCTCCAAGATTTGTAGCTGGACATTTTTGTTCACTGATGACTCTGGAAACACTAGTTAAACTTCTGGATGTACAAAAGGAATGAGATCTTGCCATTTGCAATGACGTGGATGGAACTGGAGGGTATTATGCTGAGCGAAATAAGTCAAACAGAGAAAGACATGTATCATATGACCTCACTGATATGAGGAATTCTTAATCTCAGGAAACAAACAGCATTGCTGGAGTGGGGGGTGGGATGGGAGGAATGGGGTGACTGGGTGATAGACACTGGGGAGGGTATGTGCTCTGGTAAGCGCTGTGAATTGTGCAAGACTGTTGAATCTCAGATCTGTACCTCTGAAACAAATAATGCAATATATGTTAAGAAAAAAAAAAAAGATGATAGCAGGAGGGGAAGAATGAAGGGGGGGAAATCGGAGGGGGAGACGAACCATGAGAGACGATGGACTCTAAAAAACAGACTGAGGGTTCTAGAGGGGGGTGGGAGGATGGGTTAGCCTGGTGATGGGTATTAAAGAGGGCACGTTCTGCATGGAGCACTAGGCGTTATGCACAAACAGTGAATCATGGAACACTACATCAAAAACTAATGATGTAATGTATGGTGATTAACATAACAATAAAAAACCTTCTGGATGTAAAGGGGCCATATTCTCAGGAAAGAAGTTAGATACTCCATCCCTGTTTTATTTCTGACTTCACAAGTGACTTTTTGTCATTGAAATGTCTCTTTCTGTTTCCAGCACCGAGTGGATTTTCTTCAGCTGATGATTAACTCCCAGAATTCCAAAGAAATAGACACCCATAAAGGTAAGCAAGGAGAGCTCCAGATGACTCTTGATGGGGTGGCTCAGAGACAGGGGGTGGTTCTGAGATATGGAGGAAGATTTTTAGCAGATGGAATATCAGAAAATCAAAGAAAGACACATGTTCAGATACAAATGGTAGCCAGAGCATTTTCCAGAAGAACACAGCCACAGTTTTTTCAAAGCTTGAAGGGCAATGTTAGACAAAGCAGTCAGTGGTCTGCCACATGGGAGCGTGTTTCCAATGTCAGTCCTCCAGCCTAATCCAGACCCATTTAATCAGACCCTTGGCCTGGAAATTCACATCAAGGCTCATCACGTCAGGAGGCACCTGGCCCCAGTATTGGCAACCTTCTTTTGGAACACTTGGTTAAACTTGTGTTCACTGGCTTAATCTACTCCCAAGTTTTTTTTCCTTTTGTAATTAAGAAGTAACTAGTGCAGGATGACTTTGCGACTGTGTACATGTGGTGTTTGTCTTTAAACCATCACCTACTACTTTTACCATCCGTGGATGGTATTTGACTAAAACTATTATTACTATGATGGTTGCAAAATGATGGCTTTCTACTTCTACCATTTCTTCTACATTTAGAGTGATGGTCCATTGTTAGGGTGGGCTTTCCATTCATCATCATTATTGTATTAGTTTATTTATATATGTCAGTATGATCTTAATATTACTTAGTCTCTTACATTTTTTTAAATTTAGATTGTCAATTCTTTCAGATTTGTCCTCTAGAAGCCATTTTAAGTGGGCTCCTGTGTCCTTTTTTTTCTCTTTCTTCTTCTTTATGGGTTCTATAGACTTTATTTTTTTAAAAGATTTTATTTATTTATTTGACAGAGAGACACATGAGAGAGGAAACACAAACAGGGGGAGTAGGAGAGGGAGAAGCAGGCCTCCCGCTGAGCAGGGAGCCCGATGCGGGGCTCGATCCCAGGACCCCTGGATCATGACCTGAGCTGAAGACAGGTGCTTAACAACTGAGCCACCCAGGTGCCCCTAGACTTTATTTTTTATAGCAGTTTTATGTTCGCTGCAAAATTGAAAGACACAGAGACTTATCCCATATCCCTTCTGCCCCACCTACATACTGCATCTCCCACTATCAAAATCCCTCACGATGTGGTAATTTTGTTACAATCAGTGCCCCTACAATGACAGATTATTACCACCCCAAATCAATAGTTTACATTACAGTTCAGCCTTGGTGTTGTACATGCTATGGGTTTAGACGTATGTATAATGATGTATATCCACCATTATAGCACATAGAGTATTCTGTGTCTTTTTCCCATTTATTTTCTGAGCATTTCCTTGCATTCTGGTATGAGACATTCCAGGTTTCTCTTCTGTTTCCCCTGATGAGCCCTGGAATCATCCACTTCTCCAAGAAGCTCTGTTTCCTTTTAGTGAGAAATGGTATTTAGAAAGCAAAATCTGGGATCTAGGAGTGCTCATTGCTACAAGGGTTTCTTTGTTTCTATTTCCTCTCAGTGGGCCAAGCAAAGAACATCAAATATATTTACACAGGACTGATGAAGATAAATATTTCTATATCCATAACCAGTGATGTAATTATGGTCTCTGCATCTGAAAGAAAAAAGGAGTCTTGACTTAATTGTTGTTTCTATGACTGAAATATTCCCATTGTGGTTAATTTCAAGCTATCTATGGTTTGACAACCATCGCACAAAATTCTTGAATATATAACAGTTGATTCTAGAGAAAAACGATGGGCTTACTCTATGACACCACTCACTCTCTCCATATATATCTATATATCTATAACTATGACTACTTCTATTTTTTTCTATCTATCATCTATCTATTTATCTCTATCTATCTAGTTCTACTACTTTCTGTGATAAAGGAAATATTCTATATATGCTTGGTTCTATGAACCACTACACACATGTGGTTATTGAGCACTTGACATGTGGCTAGTGTCACTGAAGATCTGAATCTTATATTCTATTTAATATAATTAAGTAAAACTTAAATATAAATAGCCACATCTGGCAAGTGGCTACCTTATTGGACAGCACAGCTCTAAAGTTTGATTATCATGGGGTTCATGGTAATCAAGAGCAAGAATTTGATAGTTGAATTTTCCACAGCAGCATCACAGAAAGTATGACTGGGAAATCAGAACTCTATAGACCTTTCTTACACTTTTTTATGGTTTTTAGTTGTGAGTTATGTGTTTGTGGCAAGTGCCAAGTTCATTTCAGTGCTCTACGTATCCAAATGTCCTGATACAGTTCTGATCAAAGAGATCAGAGCATGACCATGCTGTCTTTCTGCCAGGAGAAAATCAAAGGAGATGCCAACTTATATTCAGAGTGGGGCCGTTCACTAAGGAAGGTCACTGATTCAGGCCATGATTGAATAGGCATTGCTAATTCCATTCACTGCATTCAGTTTGTCTATATTTCTTGCCAGCCAGTACCCTGCTATTGACACATTCTTTCTTCTGCTCCTTTAATGGCATGGATTATCCTAGTTCTATCGACTCTTCTCACTTTGTCTGTGTCATAGTTTCTGTACACCTTGGAGATCATCCACTTGAGAAGTTGTGTGCCAGGTCTTCTATTAGCTGAGACCTCAGAAAGGTATAATCTGTGCTTCTCAAGGTAGGTTGTGCACACAAATCACCACATCTCATGAAAGGTCAGATTTTGATTTGATACTTTTAGGGTGAAGTTTGAGATTCTGCATTTCTAATAAGTTCCCAGATGCTGCAGATCCCACACTTTGAGCAGCAAGAGTTTATCTGTAGCTCAATTGTGTTCTCTTAAGTTCCTGCAAATATGTTTAGATGAAAGATCATTCATTTTTTCCTGATAATTAAGCCTTAGCATTGCAAACTCTCTAAAGAAATTTAAGTTCTGTTTTAGCTGGAAGGATTTAAATTTTCCTGGGGGAGAATGCTATCCCATGTGACTTAGGACTGAAGTCCTTTTCAGATTCTCCAAAGGACATACAGAAAACTCTGTGTGCATTAGACAGAAATGCCAGCTCCTGAAATTGGTGGGGAGGGTGGCATGAGCAGGAGCAGATGGCCAAGAATAGTATAGACCATGGGAATAAGCACATCAAGACAATTTCTTGCTTTTCTGGCTCTGTAGGTAGACAGAGTGCAAACCACTGTGAGTTTGATTCTGAATTGCTTTTACATTTCCCCCCAAGGGAATTGGGAGTTTCCAATAGATTTCTCATCATCTAAACTGTGATGTTTTATATTCAGCTGCTCTAGCTAAAATGTCTTTGCTTCTTTTAGCTCTCTCTGATCTGGAGCTCGTGGCCCAATCTATTATCTTTATTTTTGCTGGCTACGAGACCACTAGCACTTCTCTTTCCTTCCTTGTGTATGAATTGGCCACTCACCCTGATGTCCAGCAGAAATTGCAGGAGGAGATTGATGCAACTTTCCCCAATAAGGTGAGTGATACCTACCTGAAGAGGGAGTCAGGATACGCTTGGTTATGTCTCAGTAACACATTAGCCCTCAAACCAAGTGGGTTTTCATAGAAAGGTTTACTTCTAACTCATTAGCATGTCCAACATGGGGATGAGTCTCTGCTTCATATAGTTATTCGGTGATACTGGGGAAAGAGGCTCCACTTTTTTATACCTGCATTATCTGGAACTTGGGGACTAATTGTTGGCTGGGGAACAAGGAACTAGAGTGTTGCTTTCTTGCTTTTCAAATGTTTGGCCCTGAACTGACATCCATCTCATCAGTTCACAGCCGATTTGCAAAGTAGTTTCCCTTAAGTTCCCATGGGCTGGGAACTATGGGGGTCTTCATGGTTATTGGGTGGACAGTGAGTGTCTCTGCCACACACCCTATGAAATGGCAACCCTATTATCTCCATGTAACAACTCAGGAAACTGGGCTACAGAGAGACATCATAACGTTTTAAATTATCATATAACTAGTGGTGAAGAAGCCAAGCTAGGAGCCAGGGTGCCTAGATCCTGATCGACCTCTAACCTCTACAGTGTTGGCTCTTAAATATAACAGCAGGGCTCCTGGGTGGCTCTGTCGGTTAAGGGTCTTCCTTCGGGTTGGATCATGGTCCCAGGGTCCTGGGATCGAGTTCCACATCGGGCTCCCTGATTAGTGGGGAGTCTGCCCCCCCTGCCCCCACCCCTGCTCGTGATCTCTCTCTCTCTCTCTCTCCCTCTCCCTCTCTCAAATAAATAAAAAATATGTACATAACACCAAGTGATAGGCACATATTGACCACACTGTTTACTGATCCCTGCCCAACTTGGAGTTCCCTACTTATGAAGAGACCTGGCCTCTGGGGATGGAGTGCCTTATTTGGCAAACAGTGAAACCCTGAAGCAACAACAAGGAGACCCTTCCAGCAACAGAGGGTGGACTGAGAGTAGGGTTCTGATCCTCTATATAACGTTCCATAGAACTGACATTGTGTGTCCACATTTGGTAGCATCCAATCCTACCCTTCTCTTGCCCTACTTGGGTTGAAAGGAAGTAGTGTCTCCCCCAATTATTTATACTTTTTATATAATAGAGTGTTTCTCTCTAAATACTGTAAATATAATTGAAAATGTAGGGAGCAGGATATTTCCACTAGAAGAGTTTATGTGGAAGAGGGAATATTTTCTGTTGCACATTCTTCTTCCATGGTGCAGATGTGTGACCCCTGTTTTGAAAGGGAATGGTGACTTCAACTTCACTTAAGACTAAGGGTCATAGGGAAGGGAAAATAAAATAAGAGAAAAACAGAGAGGGAGGCAAACCATAAAAGACTCTTAAGTATAGGAAACAAACTGAGGGTTGCTGGAGGGGAGGGGGTGGGGGGATGAGGTAACTGGATGATGGGCATTAAGGAGGGCACCGGATGTAATGAACACTGGGTGTTATATGCAACCAATGAATCACTAAATTCTACCCCTGAAATTCATAATACACTCTATGTTAACTAAATTGAATTTTAAAAAAATTTTTAAAAAGATTAAGGTTCACAATCTATTAGTCACTTTAGTTCACATGAGGAAGAAAAACCATACCTGGTATTGGGAAGGATTCAGGTCCTGTTTAGGGGGTTGTCCCTGCAGTCTCCCCTTGTCATTACTATTGCATACATGTCAGTGGGCCATTGAGCAGGTCAAAGGACATGGTAGACATTAAAATGTCCATAAATGCCCTTTATCAAAGCAAATTATTCTTAGGTGTTCCTAACTCTTCAGTAGCAGTGTGTAGAGTGAGTTGAACGTTGATCCCAAATCTCAATGTATCAAAATCTGTTTCTTTCCTTCCAGGCATTGCCCACTTATGATGCCCTTCTACAGATGGAGTATCTGGACATGGTGTTGAATGAGACTCTCAGATTATACCCAATCGGTGGTAGACTTGAGAGGGTCTGTAAGAAAGATGTGGAAATCAGTGGTGTATTCATTCCCGAAGGGATAGTGGTGATGGTGCCGGTCTTTACTCTTCACCGAGACCTGGATCTCTGGCCAGAGCCTGAGGAGTTCCGTCCTGAAAGGTACAGGGAACCCTGGAAAGGGGAACCCACCCTCATGTTGAAGGATATTCTGATATTTCCTTAGTATAGATGACAAGCATGTGGTTGTACAATTATTTATTTGTACATCTTTTTATTTTTAGAAGTATTTTTCTTATTACAAAATGATCATTGTTGTCAAAATTTTGCAAACTGTAGTTGAGAAAAAAGAAAATTAATGTCATCACCAGTCACATACATCATTATTAATCATGTGATATATGTCCTTGTGGATATTTTTCTATGCATACATAGATTACTAAGAGTTAGGATGGCATTATATATTTTTGAACTACTTACTTAATGTAACAGTAAGCTATAAAAACATACTGTATTTGTGTTTGTGATTATATGCATATACCATAATATACTTCACCATTATCTCATTTAAGAAAATGGGGCTTTTTTTTCCCTTTAAGTTTTTCTGCTCTCAGGCGCCTGGGTGGCTCAGTTGGTTGGGCGACTGCCTTCGGCTCAGGTCATGATCCTGGAGTCCCGGGATCGAGTCCCGCATCGGGCTCCCTACTCAGCAGGGAGCCTGCTTCTCCCTCTGACCCTCCCGCCTCTCATGTGCTCTCTGTCTCTCTCATTCTCTCTGTCTCAAATAGATAAATAAAATCTTTAAAAAAAAAAAAAGTTTTTCTGCTCTGTCTAGCTCTCTGAATTTACTCCTCACATTCTCACATTCCATTTTTGTAACCCTGGACCACAGATTCTGATAGCTGTAGTGTGAGAGCAGAGGCTGTTGAGCTGAGTTCACATCGCCGGCAGGAGGAACAACCTCCTGAGGACGGAGGTGTGCAAAGGTCCTGTGCTGTCTGTGGCTGCAGTCCTGTGTCAGCTCCCACCTCTGTCAGGATCAGGGGTTCATCCAAAGCAAGCTCATCTGCTCTCTAGCTGTCTGAGACATCCTCCTTGGAGGGTTCTTGAGCTTTCTGTTCTGATCATTCAGAGCAGAGTGTGGCTTTGGGTGCAGCTTGAATTCTGCTAAAGTCCGTGCTTTCCTGTTTATTGTATTGGTGAGCAAAATTTGGATGAACTTTTTAGGGATCTAGACGTTTAGCCCCTACCCCTAACTCCCTGCTGGCAGAGCCCTTCTCCTGTTGCATGGTGTCCCTAGTGCTAGCAATGCATCTACACATAGTACTTGCTGAAAGAACTCAAGAATGACCAAGTCATCCGTTTTCTAGACCAGGAGACCTGATGGTTCCCATAAGCTCAGGAGTTCCCTCTCCTGTAGCTTCTCGAATGGAAACCAGAGAGCACTCCTGGTACTTGTCTGTGATTGATTCAGCCACGAGAGGAAGTGCTTACCTATGTGTGTCAGGGACTGTGCCAGGCGTATGAAATCCATGTATTAAAAGTGCCTATTATGGATAATTTTATTAAAGATTTTATTTATTTGAGAGAGAGAAACAGAGAGAGAGAGAGACGGGGGAGGGGTATAAAGAGCACAAGTAGGGGGAGGGGCCGAGGACCAGAAAGAAGCAGACTCCCCGCTGAGCGGGGAGCTCAATGTGGGACTTGATCCCAAGACCCTAAGATCATGACCTGAGCCAAAGGCAGACCTTTAACCAACTAAGCCACCCAGGTGCCCCTACTGTGGAGAATTTTTGACATATGCACAAGCATATTCTATAGAGACAAGTCTATGAAATACTTTTAATGAACTCTATGTGCCCATCACCTGCCCAACAACCACTAACCCATTATCAGCTGCCCCATCCACACACCATTATAATTCCTTATCTGTTTTCCATATTACTTTAAGGCATATCATCTGTAAACATTTCAGTATCTTCTCCATAATATAACGAGTTTTAAATAATACCTCACCACAATGCCATTATCACTTTCCCCAAAAACACATGTTTCCTTGATATAAATATGGAGGAATGAATTTGGAATAAAGTGTAAGTCTAACCTTCAAGGAATTTATAGTTTTGTGGAACAGATAGACAAAAACTCAGGATTTATAGTGATTATTCATATCTGTGAGTGTGATTATAGTGGAATAGCATCACGTGCCTATGTAAATCATCTGAAAATCTGATCTGTTTAAGTGGTTAGGGGTGGTCCTAGCAGGGAGGGTAGGGAAGCCAAGGGAAAAAATAACAATGTAAATCATGGGAGGCATTTCTCCTGCTTCCTTTTTCCATGGATAGATGACCAATGTCAGTCAGTGTAGGCAGAATCCTACCTCTCCTTCAGTCAGGCTCATTTCTTGCTTGCCTTTCAGAGTGTGAACATCTCACCACCCTAAATATAATTCTAGTGTTTAAGATAAATCTTTTCAAAAGCATTCATCTCTCATCTCTTCAACAAGATTGAATGCTCCCATAGGGGAAGGGGTATCCAACGACCTGCAGCTTATAATTGTCACAGCAGATAAGCATAGCAGAACTTCAGTATCCAGCCTATCAAAGTTTCCTATGTACCCCTGGTTGAGAACCCTGAATATGTAGCTCTTGTGATTTTTATGTTTCACTAACTTGTTTCCAACTTGTAATGTGGAGCCAGGTTCAGTAAGAAGAACAAGGACAACATAAATCCTTATACATACCTGCCTTTTGGAACTGGACCTCGAAACTGCCTTGGGATGAGGTTTGCGATCATGAACATGAAACTTGCCCTGGTCAGAGTCCTGCAGAACTTCTCCTTCAAACCTTGTAAAGAGACACAGGTCAGAGAGAGAATTTTCTTCAAAAAGAATATTTTATTTTTTTAAAAACTAACAGATATGGAATAGGTGTCGTGTGTGTGTGGTGGGGGTGGGGCTCGTTTATCCTTAGTAATTTGTTCTATCTGTGACCTTGAAGGGAACTTCAGCTCTTGAGTGCCACATCTGTGGTTTATGACCACCCAGTCATAAGGGTCATGTAGTCAGTACCATTCATGTGACATCATTATGCACAGACCTATGATCCTGAGCAGTATTTTAAATTTCTTTCAAGTCCACTGAAAGGAGGGGAACATGTTGTGCATAGTCATGACGTGCAATGATAACCACGATGTGACTTTTGAAGGATTCTCTTCTTCACCATAACTTACCGATACTCTGGTGACCGAGGTTCTCAAACCCTCATTGTACATGGGAATCAGTGGGTTTGTTAAAAATCTGGATGCCCAGGTCATCTCAGAAACTCTAATGTAATTCTCCCAGAGTGTGGCTTTAAAAGTGCCCCCATGATTCTCAAGGGCAAGCAAGGTTGAGACTCAATGGTGTGAAGCATGTCTGCCTGATGTGAAGGACTCCCAGGGTCCAGGCCATCCTGGCCACTTGGCTCCACCTTCCACAAGCCTGGCTCTGGTCAGGCTGTGCTCCCATCCCATCCCAATCTGTCATCATGAATGGATGTTTCCATGGCAGAGGTGACAGGATGTTTAGCAGTGTGGATGTCCACACAATAAAATGTGTAATAAACACTCAAGATTCAACATATGAAAATTAACTCTGGCAATTTTCAGAATTGTTTGCCACAATGGCTAAGAACCTGTTGTAAATTTTAAACACTTACCCTTTTTTCTTAAAATTAAAATCACTAAAGAACACCAGCCAATATGAGTGTGTCTCCAGCCTGGTACAGAGTAAGTATTCAATAGATATTCTGTTGAAAGAGTGATGGATGAATGCTTCCATGCTCCAGTCTTGACAGCTTACAGAGTAATTTTAAAGAATCAGAGATAGATGAATCTAAAAATAGTATTTATATGTTTGTAATGCATTATTGTCCTTCATGTATCTTGCCTGCTTTGCTTCTGTTGTTGGCAGGGTTTCATTTGTTGGTTCTCTTATGCTTAACTGTTGCAGATCCCCCTGAAATTAAGTACTCAAGGGTTGATTCAACCAGAAAAACCCATTGTTCTCAAGGTTGAGCCAAGAGATGGGAGTGTGGACAGAGCCTGACTTTCTCTAAGGACTTCCCCTTTGTTCTTCAAGAAGCTGTGTCCCAGATCACCAGAGACCTCAATTTTCTTTGTGAGTAAAACCCAGAAATGAAGATGGCCTTCATGTACTGCCCATGATGGGTGACTAGGGATTCCATACATTCATTTGGCTTTTTTGGTGTCTGTGTGGAGCATTATAGATTGTGGAGAGTGAAGGAGGTGGTAATAATTGCCAGAGATGTAGACTCAGCCTGTCTGGTTCACACAGACTACCCCCAGTTAGTACCAACTTCTCCCCTGAGCACAGATCAAGAATAAAACTTTCTCAACAATTTTATCAACAAACTTTAATGAAAACAAGAATTAGTGTCATGACTGTGCTAGAGACATTTATATCATATGCCTTACTTTGAATATTTTACGTTAACTATCACACTGAGCCAGTCAATCAACACCTCTTTACAAAAGTATTAACTGATGGTTTTGTGCACATTAAGGGGGAATCCGTAGAACTGATGAGTGAGAGCCAGCGACTGAATGGTTTGACCATCACAGTCACTGGGTGGCTGGAGCTTGTTCAGAACTCCAATGTGGTATGTTAAGATAGGTGAGAGTTGGGGCACCTGGGTAGCTCAGTCAGTTGAGCATCTGCCTTCAGCTCAGGTCATGATCCCAAGGTCCTGGGATGGAGTTCCACGTCGGGCTCTGTGCTCAGCAGGGAGTCTGCTTCTTCCTCTCCCTCTGTGCCTCCTCCTGCTCATGCTCTCTCTCTCAAATAAATTAAAAAAAAAAAAAAAGATAGGTGAAAGTTAATCCACTGTGACTTTGCCCATGGCTCAGAAAGTATATTCAGAGTTTAACTCTACAGGTTTTGGAGCATATATTTTTTATAACTCTCTATTGAGACACTTAGTATTATATGATTCATTTTCATCTCATCTGCCCTTATGTTCTGGTAGGCAGGGAACATGCTTTCTCTTTGTGTTCCAGCCTCAGCTCCCAATTGTCCTAACACAGTGAACATGGTTTCAGAGATAGTTGATTGGCCAGTTGATTGGACAGAAAGGCTAAAAGCATTTGCTCATTTCAGCTGGTATCAGAAGCTGCACAGGATTCTTCCTTTTCCTTCCCTCCCCTCCCCATTCCTTCTTTCCCTTCTCTCTTCTCTTGCTTTGCTTTCTTCCTAGATAATTCAGTCCTAAAGCCATAGGTGGGGCATAACCAGGTAGACAGCCCCACAGTGGGGGTCAGAGGTAGAGAAGGGAGTCACAGTGACTCCAGGTTAGAAAATGAGTAGGGTGAAGAGGGTGTCCACATGGAAGAGCAGCCTGGCATGGGTGTGGGAGCCCAAGGTCGGTGAGAAGGGTGCCCACACAGAGGGTTGGTCTGGCGAGAGCTCCTGAAGCCTAACTACAATGTGAAGAACCCAAGTAGCATGGTGGGGGCATACATGAGTGTGAAGGGATGGAGTGAGGGTTAGTTACATGAAAGGGGATTGATCAAGTAAGTAAATATATTAAAGCTACATGGTTTCAGGAGTTTCTCAATGTTGGAGAAGTGTCATGCTTTCCTATGAATACATGATAAGATTGGTAGAGAGAGATAGAAATGTGTGTGTTTGTCTTTGTGTAAAAACACATATCCCCTACCTCTCTCCACAGACAGTTCTTAGAAACATGACATTGTAAGAGCAATGAGCATACCTTGTGCCCATTTTTGGCTTATAAATGTCATTTTCGACTGCAAGGAACTAGGGCTTTTCAGAGAAATGGCTGATTCCAGGCTGGGAGAGCACATGATGAGCCTGAAGCATCTTGTGCTACACAGGGGATGGGGACACATCCACAGGACACAGAGCTAACGTGAGGGGTTTCACCCACCCATCAGGCACGATTTGGGCATCACGGTCACTAATGATAGGAAGAGATTGTAACCCATTGAATAAAACTGGAAAATCGAGTACATACATGTAGAAAGAAATACAGGGATAGATTACAATTGAAGAGGACACTCACACAGTTTTAAAGTACTACAGCTGAGACAGCCATGAGTTACTGAGGAAAGAGCAGCTCACAGAGCGGAGACCTGGCAAACCAATGAGCCTCATCAGGAACAGGAGGAAGTGATGGAGCATCACCTGAAGGATGTGGTGAAAAGAACCCAGCGTCACCTCGGGGATATTCTTGCCAAGGAGGCAAACCTGAAAAGAAATCCCAAGAATTGTCAGATAAACCAAAATAAAGGACTATCTACTCCCAATCTGTAACTGGTGTGTAATCTTCTACAAAGTCACAGTCCTGAAAATGATAAAAAAGAAAAAAACAAGCCAGGATTGGAGTCACTTGCCCCCCCAACCCCACCACACAGCAAACAATGCCTAATTACCTCGATTGAATATCCCAGGAATCATGGAATACTACATCAAAAACTAATGATGTAATGTATGGTGATTAACATAACATAATAAAATAAAATAAATGATTATAAAAAATAGAAAAAACCCAAAATAAATTAAGCAAACAAAAAGTATTTATTGCCAGATCTAAGTGAAATACTGGAGAGAATTGTTCAGGTAGAAGAAAAACCTAGATGGAAAGATTGAAATGATGAAAAGAGGTACTGTGTAGGTAAATCCAATGAATGTTAAGTGATTAAGACAGTAACAGTGTCTTTTGGGTGTTTATAATATATGTATAATTAAAGTCTACAAAAATAAAAAATAAAAAGAAAGTATCCCAAGAAGATGACCATTTTTTTTATTCTTATGTTAATCCCCATACATTACATCATTAGTTTTAGATGTAGTGTTCCATGATTCATTGTTTGTGCATAACACCCAGTGCTCCATGCAGAATGTGCCCTCCTCAATACCCACCACCTGGCTAACCCATCCTCCCACCCCCCTCCCCTCTAGAACCCTCAGTTTGTTTTTCAGAGTCCATCGTCTCTCATGGTTTGTCTACCCCTTCGATTTCCCCCGCTTCATTCTTCCCCTCCTGCTACCTTCTTCTTCTTTTTTTTTTCTTAACATATATTGCATTATTTGTTTCAGAGGTACAGATCTGAGATTCAACAGTCTTGCACAATTCACAGCGCTTACCAGAGCACATACCCTCCCCAGTGTCTATCACCCAGTCACCCCATCCCTCCCACCCCACCCCCCAACTCCAGCAACCCTCAGTTTGTTTCCTGAGATTAAGAATTCCTCATATCAGTGAGGTCATATGATACATGTCTTTCTCTGTTTGACTTATTTCGCTCAACATAATACCCTCTAGTTCCATCCACGTCGTTGCAAATGGCAAGATCTCATTCCTTTTGATGGCTGCATAATATTCCATTGTATATATATACCACATCTTCTTTATCCATTCATCTGTCGATGGACATCTTGGCTCTTTCCACAGTTTGGCTATTGTGGACATTGCTGCTATAAACATCGGGGTGCACGTACCCTTTTGGATCCCTACATTTGTATCTTTGGGGTAAATACCCAGTAGTGCAATTGCTGGGTCATATGGTAGCTCTATTTTCAACTTTTTGAGGAACCTCCATACTGTTTTCCAGAGTGGCTGCACCAGCTTGTATTCCCACCAACAGTGTAGGAGGGTTCCCCTTTCTCCGCATCCCCACCAACATCTGTCGTTTCCTGACCTGTTAATTTTAGCCATTCTGACTGGTGTGAGGTGGTATCTCATTGAGGTTTTGATTTGGATTTCCCTGAAGCCGAACGATGTTGAGCACTTTTTCATGTGTCTGTTGGCCATTTGGATGTCTTCTTTGGAAAAATGTCTGTTCATGTCTTCTGCCCATTTCTTGATTGGATTCTTTGTTCTTTGGGTGTTGAGTTTGATGAGTTCTTTATAGATTTTGGATACTAGCCCTTTATCTGATAGGTCATTTGCAAATATCTTCTCCCATTCTGTCGGTTCTTTTGGTTTTGTTGACTGTTTCGTTTGCTTTACAAAAGCTTTTTATCTTGATGAAGTCCCAATAGTTCATTTTTGCCCTTGCTTCCCTTGCCTTTGGCGATGTTTCTAGGAAGAAGTTGTGTGGCTGAGGTCGAAGAGGCTGCGGCCTGTGTTCTCCTTTAGGATTATGAGGGACTCCTGTCTCACATTGAGGTCTTTCAACCATTTGGAGTCTATTTTTGTGTGTGGTGTAAGGAAATGGTCCAGTTTCATTCTTTTGCATGTGGCTGTCAATTTTCCCAACACCATTTGTTGAAGAGACTGTCTTTTTTCCATTGGACATTCTTTCCTGCTTTGTCAAAGATGAGTTGACCATAGAGTTGAGGGTCCATTTCTGGGCTCTCTATTCTGTTCCATTGATCTATGTGTCTGTTTTTGTGCCAGTACCATGCTGTCTTGATGATGACAGCTTTGTAATAGAGCTGGAAGTCCGGAATTGTGATGCCGCCAGCTTTGCTTTTCTTTTTCAACATTCCTCTGGCTATGCGGGGTCTTTTCTGGTTCCATACAAATTTTAGGATTATTTGTTCCATTTCTTTGAAAAAAAGTGGATGGTATTTTGATGGGGGTTGCATTGAATGTGTAGATTGCTCTAGGTAGCATTGACATCTTCACAATATTTGTTCTTCCAATCCATGAGCATGGAACGTTTTTCCATTTCTTTGTGTCTTCCTCAATTTCTTTCATGAGTATTTTATAGTTTTCTGAGTACAGATCCTTTGTCTCTTTGGTTAGATTTATGCCTAGGTATCTTATGGTTTTGGGTGCAATTGTAAATGGGATCGACTCCTTAATTTCTCTTTCTTCTGTCTTGTTGTTGGTGTATAGGAATGCCACTGATTTCTGTGCATTGATTTTATATCCTGCCACTTTACTGAATTCCTATATGAGTTCTAGCAGTTTGGGGGTGGAGTCTTTGGGGTTTTCCACATAAAGTATCATATCATCTGCAAAGAGTGAGAGTTTGAATTCTTCTTTGCTGATTTGGATGCCTTATTTCTTTTTGTTGTCTGATTGCTGTGGCTAGGACTTCCAATACTATGTTGAATAGCAGTGGTGATAGTGGACATCCCTGCCGCGTTCCTGACCTTAGGGGGAAAGCTCTCAGTTTTTCCCCATTGAGAATGATATTCACTGTAGGTTTTTCATAGATGGCTTTTATGATATTGAGGTATGTACCCTCGATCCCTATACTCTGAAGAGTTTTGATCAAGAAAGGATGCTGTACTTTGTCAAAAGCTTTCTCTGCATCTATTGAGAGGATCATATGATTCTTGTTCGTTCTTTTGTTAATGTATTGTATCACATTGATTGATTTGTGGATGTTGAACCAACCTTGCAGCGCAGGGATAAATCCCACTTGGTCGTGGTGAATAATCCTTTTAATATACTGTTGGATCCTATTGGCTAGTATTTTGGTGAGAATTTTTGCATCCATGTTCATCAGGGATATTGGTCTGTAATTCTCCTTTTTGATGGGGTCTTTGTCTGGTTTTGGGATCAAGGTAATGGTGGCCTCATAAAACGAGTTTGGAAGTTTTCCTTCCATTTCTATTTTTTGGAACAGTTTCAGAAGAATAGGTATTAGTTCTTCTTTAAATGTTTGGTGGAATTCCCCTGGGAAGCCATCTGGCCCTGGGCTTTTGTTTTTTGGGAGATTTTTGATGACTGCTTCAATTTCCTTAGTGGTTACAGGTCTGTTCAGGTTTTCTATTTCTTCCTGGTTCAGTTTTGGTAGTTGATATATCTCTAGGAATGCATCCATTTCTTCCAGGTTATCTAATTTGCTGGCATAGAGTTGCTCATAATATGTTCTTATAATTGTTTGTATTTCTTTGGTGTTGGTTGTGATCTCTCCTCTTTCATTCATGATTTTGTTGATTTGGGTCATTTCTCTTTTCTTTTTGATAAGTCTGGCCAGGGGTTTATCAATCTTGTTAATTCTTTCAAAGAACCAGCTCCTAGTTTCGTTGATCTGTTCTACTGTTCTTTTAGTTTCTATTTCATTGATTTCTGCTCTGATCTTTATGATTTCTCTTCTCCTGCTGGGTTTAGGCTTTATTTGCTGTTCTTTCTCCAGCTCCTTTAGGTGTAGGGTTAGGTTGTGTACTTGAGACCTTTCTTGCTTCTTGAGAAAGGCTTGTATTGCTATATACTTTCCTCTTAGGACTGCCTTTGCTGCATCCCAAAGATTTTGAATAGTTGTGTTTTCATTTTCATTGGTTTCCATGTATTTTTTTAATTCTTCTTTAATTTCCTGGTTGACCCATTCATTCTTCAGTAGGATGCTCTTTAGCCTCCATGTATTTGAGTTCTTTCCGACTTTCCTCTTGTGATTGAGTTCTAGTTTCAAAGCATTGTGGTCTGAAAATAGGCAGGGAATGATCCCAATCTTTTGGTACCGGTTGAGACCTGATTTATGACCTAGGATGTGATCTATTCTGGAGAATGTTCCATGGGCACTAGAGAAGAATGTGTATTCTGTTGCTTTGGGATGGAATGTTCTGAATGTATCTGTGAAGTCCATTTGGTCCAGTGTGTCATTTAAAGTCTTTATTTCCTTGTTGATCTTTTGCTTAGACAATCTGTCCATTTCAGTGAGGGGGGTGTTAAAGTCCCCCACTATTATTGTATTGTTGTCGATGTGTTTCTTTGCTTTTGTTATTAATTGCCTTATATAATTGGCTGGTCCCATGTTAGGGGCATAGATATTTAAATTGTTAGATCTTCTTGTTGGATAGGCTCTTTAAGTAGGATATAATGTCCTTCCTCATCTCTTATTACAGTCTTTGGTTTAAAATCTAATTTGTCTGATATAAGGATTGCTACCCCAGCTTTCTTTTGGTATCCATTAGCATGGTAAATGGTTTTCCACCCCCTCACTTTCAATCTGGGGGTGTCTTTGGTTCTAAAATGAATCTCTTGCAGACAGCATATTGATGGGTCTTGTTTTTTAATCCAATCTGATAGCCTGTGTCTTTTGATTGGGGCATTTAGCCCATTTACATTCAGGGTAACTATTGAAAGATAGGAATTTAGTGCCATTGTATTGCCTGTAAGGTGACTGTTACCATATATTGTCTGTGTTCCTTTCTGGTCTTTGTTGCTTTTAGGGTCTCTCTCTTTGCTTAGAGGACCCCTTTCAAGATTTCTTGTACGGCTGGTTTCCTGTTTGCAAATTCCTTTAGTTTTTGTTTGTCCTGGAAGCTTTTTATCTCTCCTTCAATTTTCAATGACAGCCTAGCTGGATATAGTATTCTTGGCTGCATATTTTTCTCATTTAGTGCTCTGAATATATCCTGCCAGTCCTTTCTGGCCTGCCAGGTGTTTGTGGATAGGTCTGTTGGCAATCTAATGTTTCTACCATTGTAGGTTACATATCTCTTCTCCCAAGCTGCTTTCAGGATTTTCTCTTTGTCTATGAGACTCGTAAATTTTACTATTAGATGTCAGGGTGTTGACCTATTTTTATTGATTTTGAGAGGGGTTCTCTGTGCTTCCTGGATTTTCATGCCTATTTCCTTCCCCAAATTAGGGAAGTTCTCTGCTATAATTTGCTCCATTATACCTTCTGCCCCTCTCTCTCTTTCTTCTTCTTCTGGGATCCCAATTATTCTAATGTTGTTTCATCTTATGGTATCGCTTATCTCTCGAATTCTGCCCTCGTGATCCAGTAGTTGTTTATCTTTTTCTCAGCTTCTTTATTTTTCATCATTTGGTCTTCTATA